GCAGGAAGAGACAGAACATGAAGATAATAGTGGGAAAAACCCTCATCTCTCAAGAACACAAAGATTAACAAATGAGCAAATAGAAAGTAGAAGAAGAGAATATAAAAAATCCAAAACCAACAACGCAATTGGTTTTTCTTTTTCTTATTATTATTATTATTATTATTGGATCTATGAAGCTCCTCAACCTACCTCTAATGGAAAGTATTTTTTTTTCCAAAATTCGTTTGGTGGAATAATCGTGCAAGTCAATAATATCCTTCATTTTTGTCTTTTTATCAGATGAAAAAGTAGACCTTTGTTCATATTACGTGTTTCATGGATAAAGTGGACAATTAAGAAAATGAGAAATGGCTCCCAAACAATTAAGCTTTTATTATTTAATATACCAATGTATCTTAGGCAGCTGGTGGATCAATCATGGTTGACTTTCCAAGAATTCTTAAGAGTTTTGATTATGGGGATTGCGGTGCCATTGGCAAGAGAGAAGGCATCAACTTGCCATTAGAATAAACAAGAGTATTGCTGAAAACAGATGAAGAACCAACAAGTGGGTTGAGGTGTGGTAAGCGAAATCAAGCAAATTAAGAGCACATAACTAAGGTCAAACGCCCTTTAAGTTTACTTTCATATAATATATATATATATATATATTTATATATATTATACTATTTATCCCAAGCCTTTTGCAACTACCAATCTAATATGTAAAAATAAGGGGCGTAACAAAGAAAAACATTAGTTTAATGTAGATTTTTTTTTTTTTTTTTTATTGTTTCACTTTTACAAAGTCATAGCCGTGCAGACTAATGTCTTGCAACGAGTACTTCCCGCATCATGAAGCATAGCGCTGCTGCTCAGGACGTGCAGATAATGTGAATATGTGATGCGAGCTTGAGACAATACTAGAAGAAAAAACTGGAAAAATTTAGAATATATAATGAAAGTTAGTAGAATACAACGCATATAGTGCCTATTTTTCATTAGAAAAGAACAAGAGAAAGGCAAAAACAAATGCACACCGAACATGATGTTTGCGGTAGTTTCAGTGCAATTAACAACATGATGTTTATTATCCAAGTAATATAAAATATTTCATTTCGTAAAAGTCTTACTGCCATGTGCATAAACATGTCGTTTTTTTAAGTGAGCTCCTTTACTTCAAAGTTCATCAACGATTTTTTTTTTTTTTTAATTTTCCCCCTTCTTTGCTAATGCCAACGGTTTTCTTTTTCTAATCCCACATGTTTTAGGATGATTTTTTTGGTAGAAACTAAACAAGTTCTCAACCATCACATTTTCATTGAGTTCTTTTAATTTATATGATTTTTGTATTTTAATGTGATTTGATAGTCTAAAACCTGCAATATATTGAGGGGTGGAAAACTGTTCGGAAGCAAAGAAAACAAAAATAGAAATTGGGTTTGAGGCGTAAGAAACCCAATATTCCACTCCTATCTATATTGATGTTGTATGTTTTACAGATCACATGAGGACATCTGTTTTCTCCAGATAGGAAAATGAATCGTTTATCTTGATCCGGTTTTCTAAAATTTTGCTTTTCTCGGATTCTTCTTTTATTATTGTTATTTCTTTTTTCCTTTCTTTCTTTTTCTATGTTGTTTCTGTCAGCAAATAAGCGATACGTCGTTCGCCGAGTTATTTTACATGTCGTTTCTTGAAATTTCCTCCTTTCCAAACAGAACGTGCACTTCAGTGGCAACATAGATTTCGTAATCCCCTTCTCTACAATAAGGGTTTGCACTCGAGAAATCGCAGATGAAACAATGAATTTTAAGTTCCTCTCTTTATTCAGAGCAAAAAAAAAAAAAAAAAAAAAAAAAAAAAAAAATCAAAATAAAAAACAACACCCAGAGAGGGTCCTACGTTTACAAGTTCTATGTTCTCTGTTGTTACTTAGATCAGTTCTGTATTTAACCAAAAGTAATACCATACAAAAACAAGTTCAGAATCACTCTCTGGAGTTCAATAGAAAATACCACATTTACCAAACGGATGGGATGTTTATTCAAGGGTTATCCATGATTCTGAATTATGATTCTTATTTCTTTACAGTGACTTTCTCTCAGAAAAAATTTAAATTTCAAAAATCAGAATAATGAATCATGATTCTAAATCCATTAACCAAACATCTCATTAAGAATTTTGAGTTTAAGCCCTGATTTGATGTTTTGAACCAAAAATCTTAAGAATTCTGAGTTCCCCCCGTATTCAATGTTTTGAACCGAAGTTCGAACCACATATCAAACTTTTCATTCCAAACTACGAAAGTTCAAACTACCATGTTTTGAACCTATTTACCAAACGGACTTGTCGCTTTCATATTCTTCTTCTTCCATTTCTTCCTCTTCCTCTTCTTTGCTATCTGCTTCTCTTTCCTCCTCTTCCGCACACCATCTAAGATTTTCCTTGATGACTTCTTCTGTGATCTCACCGTTCTTAATTCGGCGGTAGTCTTCGAGGGATGTCATGTGTTAATTTCTCCCTCACATGCTCCATCATCTTAGCCACTAGTCTTGCAGATTTATTGATACTAACTGCCAAATCAACATTCAAATTAGTTGTTTTAATTAGCACGAGTCCGGTAAAGGGGCTTAGATTTATACCACAAATCGGACGGTTTCACAAGTCCGATAGGAGCTCATCGAACTGAACTTGTAGAGTGAGATTCTTTTACCTTTCCATATATTCTTCATCAACTTCCTTTTCAATTTCACCAAGCTGCAATGTAAAACAAAAATCAAACACCTAAATAATACTCAAAAATCATATTCAAGCAAAAGCAAAGGAGTTCTCTGAACAGCAGACCAACCCGATCACATATACTGCAAGGATCATCCACACACGAAACTCCTATCTTAATTTGACTCTAGATTTGAAAAGAGGGAAAAAAAAATCAAATAGGGTAAATGTATCAACAAGAGACTTCAATAATAATAATCATGATTAGCACGATGGAATTAAAAAAAAAATTAATTACCATAGCCAAACCAATACACAAATCAGCAATAGACGTATCCTTTGTCCCACAACTGCAACCAAATAGTAGAATTGCATAATGACTAAAGATTTTCAAGAAAAGGGTAATGAAATGGATAATATCTTGATTAGCTCCGCCAAAGTACAAGGATTAGTTCCATACCTAAAGTGGCGGTCGATAACAAGGCCCCAACCAGCTCGCTCAGCCTTTTTTACAGCTTCAATGCACTTTGTTATAGTCCAATCTATTTGGTCTACCTGCGTCCAAAATGAAAGAATGATTCATATTTGGAGGAGTGCTCACAACACTCTATTGTACTTTCTTTCACACATGCGGCATTACGTGTTTAAGGAAATATAAGAAATGATCCTCCAGAAAAAAAAAAAAAAAAAAATATATATATATATATATATTTGTCGTTTAGTTCTTACACAACGTTTTCTGTTTTACATTGTCGTTTCCATTTTTGTGTCATTTTACGGACTTTTATGTCGTTTAGTTCTTATACGACGTTTCTGTTTTACACTGTCGTTTCCATTTTTGTGTCATTTTGGATATATTGTCGTTCTCATTTTGATGTTGTTATTTTAGTTGATCATCTCCACGAATAATATGCCCTGTGGTGGTAGATTGATATGTTCGTTGACTCAAATTCGCCATTTTAATATTTAATCCAATCTTCATTTTCATTGCTCTCCATTTGTTTTCCAAATTAAACCGTCAGTTTCTAGAACCCAAAACAATATGTAAATATTAGTACTAGAAGTATATCAATGATAATGCAAAATAATCAATATAAGTTGAGGGATTAATTTGGTTTAAAATAGAAAAATACAAAAGTTAATATTGGAAACCTATACCTACTATTTACATATGTTAAAAGGGATCGTGCATAATGTTGTGATATTAACGCGCAAATAAAATTAAGTGCCCACAAAAAAAATAATAATAATTAAAATTGCGAATAGTCTGGTATAACTATAATGAGATCCATCTTCACCGTGGCCACTGTTGCCTACGCAAAAATATAGGCAATATTATAGACCCACAAATACTTGGTTTGAATGAGACGAAGAACTGGGCGTGCTCTAGTTATTCTCTGTTTGACACCTGAATTTAATTGAACAACAATATTGAATTAATTGGGTGCTTGACATGATTTTAGAAATAAACACAAGTACTTAGATTCTCATTTTCTAACGCATTGTAACTATAATTTTTTTTCCTTCATTAAAGAAGGAAAAATGAGACAAATACCTCTTAAAATGTATGAATTTTAAGATTTTTATCCTTACGTACCATTGATTAGTATCCTTTAATCAAATAATTTTATTAATCAAAAAATTATTTATCAAGATTAAAAGATAAAAAT